ATGATATTATTAGCAATTTAACTTAATCTAATGAGTTTAAAGTAAATTTAAATTAGTTTTTTCGAAAAAATGTCTTTCGAAAAAATGATTTCGAAAAAATGTCCTTCGAAAAAATGTCTTTCGAAAAAGTGTCTACATACCATAAAAAGTGTTATTTTTATTCTGCATTTATTCTGCAAACTAGGATATTTATATCCAATATGGTAAACGGTATAAACTTGGAGAAAATCTCCCAGCATAAAACTAAATAAAGCACGCAATATTACAATCTAAATTTATACAATAACAGGTGATTTCAACCCCAGTTTATTTACATAGTGTATTACATGGTTAAACTGTAAAAGTCAAAAATACCCATAAAGTTTGCCGTATTTCTTGAAGCGCTTTATCTCGAGCTCAGCCACGGGTGTGAACATCAACTCCCAGAGGTTCCCAATGCCCACCACTGGTTTGGGTCCACTTATACCACGTTTAGTAAAGTAATTAAAGTTTCTCGTAAAGTACCTAGATTACAAAGAGTACATCATATTTAATTTTAAGTAATCATAATCATTTAGTGTAACATTTTCTAATTTTGTTGCAACTTAATTTACCAATACATTAGCGCGATTGTAGCACATATGCCATAGACAGGCCATTGTAGTAAATTTATAAATATCATTCTTTATTTAAAAATATATTTAATGAAATTTAATTGTTGAATAAATTAAATATTATTAGATTTAAACTTGGTGATACATAACATTATAATAAAATATATCAAAGTTTTGTTATCAATTAATTGGTTAGACCTAGTACATTTACACAATGATTAATGCATTTGATATCTAAAGTTACGTTTATATATGGGAAAAGCTAAATATGAAGGAAAGAGTAGTTTGTTCAAGGTTTTTCTTTACATATTATAGGTTATATAAACATGTAACTGTATATATGATCATTGATCATGTACGCACACATATTATTACAGCGCATATAATTTCGTTAGTTTTAAAAATGATTTATAACTATCAAAACAATAATCACTTGTTTATCAAATCATATAAACTTTATCAGTGATAGTTTAAAATTTACAACTATTGTTAAAATTATAGAATAATGTTAAAAGAATTATTATTTAATTAATATATCTAAAGGCATAAAGGTGATTAGGTGATTATAGGTGATTATATTTAACTAGATATTTTATTAATTTTTGTAATAAATTCACCTTATTTTTTATATCATATTAATTACTATAATCTAAATAATGCACACAATAGAGATTGAAATTCCAGTATCGGTGTCGCGATATAATACTAACGATACTAAGTATCGGTATCGGTGTCGCGATACCGACACCGATACTAGATATTCAAAACTTCCGATACTACCAATACTACCGATACTACCAATACTACCGATACTACCAATACTACCAATACTAACGACACCACCGACACTAC